CCCTAGTACTAATGGTGTTAACCTCCTCGTGCGCCCACCTAAGGTGTACGCAGCTGCTTACTTTGAATCTGGGGCAAATCATCGTGAAGCTGTTTTCAGGCGGCAGCGATGGCGCTTGTGCCGCACAGTGCGGCAGGGGCAGAAAGCGGAAGCGGTGCACGCACGCATGTGGGGTTGGGGCGGCGGCCACAAAGCTTTCAAAGCTTTGGGGTTCAAAAGGATCAATGGATGCGGGCTGACTTGACTACGGCATCCTTGCCTGGTCCTAGCAGGTGTGCTTGCTTCCTGTGTTGGGGCAACGCGCTGACAGGGACAGGTGCCTGGAGACCAGGAGTCGCATGCGTCCATGCACCTGCCACTCGCAGGACTGAAAGCACCAGCGTCATAACATTCACACAATCAATGCTACAGAGCATAATTATCAAAAGGTCTCAATATCACCCCCTTTCCAGCAGCCACTGCCATTCGCCCGGCACCTCCCGAGGAGTCCCGACAAAGAGCATCTGTACGTAGCCCCTTCGCGAATTTTGCCAATACTCTCAATACATGTGAGTAATGCTTGCGCGTGACATTCCCCCTTTCAAGCTGGCTCGCTACACAGCACAACGGTCTCTCCACTGGGCTGCTAGCCCTATAGCTGCCAGCAGTGTGTATTTTGTGAAATGATCATATTGTTCCGCGTATATGTACGTGCCATCGCATGGCGCCGTGTGGCTGCAACCCCCCATTGGCAGCTCCATGCATCCCCTGCACGCGACCCTGACGCTGCTGCCTGCTTGCTCCATGCACCACCCACCCCAGACACCATGCCAGCCACAGCCATGCGTCTTCCTGCCACCATCCTGCTGGCTCTGGCTTGTGTGTTGCTCTACGCGGAGATCGGTGCTGCAACTACGGCCTCGTGCTCCTCTATCCCTGCCTGCGTGAAGCAGAGCACCACCACCTGCAAGTGCAGCCGCTGCCAAACCATCCCCGGCTGCTCCAAGTACGACACGACCACCTGCAAGTGCACCCGCGCGTCCCCTGCCGCCTACGTCGTCCTCCCCTCTGGCGTCACAGGTGGGGCGCGCAGTGCGAGCCTCACCAACCAAAGAGATAGACGAACAGCTCAAACATTCTACGCCCCCACGACATACACCACGCAGCCTGGCCCAGAACACACGAGACCCCACCCACCGTTATGATTCCCCCCGCTGCTTGACACCCACCCTGCTCACGCTCCCCGTCGCCTCGCCCCCCCTTCCCCAGGCTGTGCAGCCGGCTACGGGTCCTTCAGGGCTCAAGGCGCCGGCGTCTCATCCACCCTGCCCTTGTCGCCGCCCTCGTGCCCCGTGTCGGCGCTGACTCTCGACCTTGGCCTGCTGGCGGGCCAGGTATCCGTCGACACCAAGGCCTGCGCCTGCAAGCGCTGCCCATCTGGCACCACGTCCCAGGGCGGATTTCTGGTGGAGCTTTCCCAGTGCCGCGCAGGCATCAACGCCAGAGCATTCGCGGCCTATGGCGCTGCCACCCCCTGCGGCGCCTACCTGACAGGCGTGCGCGCCTGGTACTCTGCCGCGCGCAGCATGATTGTTGGGCTGGAGACCATCCTCTCAGACGGCTCAAGTGTCATGAGCGGGATTGCTAAAGGCAATGCCTCTGGTGAGCAGGCTTGCTTGCTGGATACACTGGAGCCTTGGATGTTGAGGGGGTGGACCCATAACTCCAAATGTTTTGCGTCAACATGTCGCCAACATGCCTTGATCAACGCCGTGTATCTTAGAGCAGGTCTGCCGTCCACCATCTGTGCTCACAATCCCTCGACGTCCCTTACGCATCCCTTACCCACCGCAGCTGTCTCCGTGCCATCTGGCCAGAAGGTCACCACCCTCACTGTCTACCAGACTGGCAGCCGCGTCGAGGCCCTGCGCCTGGCCACTGACGCGGGCGTCACTCTCAACCTGGGCAAGTCAGCACCCTCCGCACCTCGCGCGGTCATCCAGGCCCCCCTGAAGACCGCCCTCGGCGGCATCAGCGGCGCCTTGGCCTACCCTGGGGGCCCCCTCATCTCTGTCACTCCCCTGTTCAACCTCGTGGGCCGCGTCACCAAGGCAGGCACCACCAACCAGTGCGTCGAGTGCAACACCGCCTCGGACTGCAGCGCCGCTGGTTTCGTCTCCCTCAGCGATGCTGCCTGTGATGCCCTCTCCAACACTTGCGGGTGTGCCGCGCGCTACCTCCTCACTGGATCTGGCGCCACCAGGCAGTGTGTGTTTGAGGGCTGCCCCGCTGGACAGGTTGTCCAAGCGGGCACCGCAGACACGTGTGTCGTCAGCAGCGTCACTTCGCAGTAGCCCTTGCCGCTTACACAAGGTCGTGCCACTACAGTTGCTCGAGGCGTGGCCTTGTCTTTCCAGACCGAGAGCGTCGGGCCCGCAAAGCGCCTGCAGTGGCTCGCCCCCCTGCCCACTGGCAGTCCTGTGAGTATGGAGCCTCACCGACAGCTTGTTTATTGGGCGATCTCTCCGTCCAGGGATTATACTTGTTGCCACAGCTAGTTTGGACACCGGTGTCGTCTCCACTTGCCGTTCCACCCTCCCTGTTTCCCACCTCGCCAACCAGGCTGTTCAGGTGCACAGCGCGCATGCACTAACAACGGGCGCCCCTGCACACCAAGTGTGATTATCTATGTTCCCGGTTGCCACCATCCCTTTGCCTGTGGTCTGCCACCAGCATCGTGCGTTGCATCCCCCTTTCCCCTGTTTCTGCAGTTGCGTCCGTGTTGCTCCCGGTTTGCCCAGCCCTCTCTGCCTGCAGCCCTTTTTGCATGACGTTGTAGAGATGTTCCAAGAGCAGCGATGCCGGTAAAGATCCTTGAGCGCAGTGACTGGGATGAAATGTTACAGCAGATCCAAGATGAACCTCGTTCAAGCTCAGTGCAGCAGCATGATGCAGAACAGGTGGACGGATAGGCGTTCCAATGCGCGCCCCATGCTCCGACGTGCCCGCGGCTCGTCGGATTGATGAAATTGGCAGCCCGCAGCGAGCCTGCAGCAAGGGGGAGTCGCCGAGGACCTGCAGCAGCCAGCTGGCTTGAAAGAGTGCAATGCCGTTCGCCATCATCAACTTTGGTCGGTCGATCACTGATGCGTGACAACGCCAAACCTCGGACGATCAGGATGGATGTACACCATGCACACCAGGTACATGCACACCCTGCGAGACCAGCACAGAGCTGGTAAGCGACGGCCGCGCACGCGCATCGCACGCGCTAGATTAATCCTGCTGTTGCCATGCCGCTCTCATGACCTCAGAGGCTTTCAAGGTGGCTCGGAGCGCCACCCAAGCCAAGCCCAGCAAACAAGTCATTGCAGTAATCATACACGCTTGCTATGCCCGTTGTCCCCGCAAAAGGTTGTGCCCCGAAAGTTGTCGCGCGCCCATGCCGTGCGAACACCGCCCACAGTGGCATCGTGACTGCGGGCGGTGCCGGCACCGCCCGCGGCGCACGGCTGCGGCGCTGCAGCAGTGCCAGCAGCGCGAGGGGGGCAGTCGAAAGCTCGTGCGCTGCAGCCTCTGCACAGGCGCAGCAATAGAATAGCCCGGGGTTCGTTCGAGGCAGCAGGCAAGGGGGAAAAGAATGCTGCCGGGAGCGGCGACGGACAGAGGCGGGCCTCTCGGGCTGCCTGCGCCATTCTACGCAGGGCACCGCAGGCGCCGGGCCTCCGGAGCTGCCGCCGCGCGGGCGACGTCGCCCGGGCAGACGGCGCTCGTGTGCGCTCTGGACCGGCCAAGTTTGTGACCCCTTCCCGTTGGATAGAGTGTGGAGGCAAACAAAACTTTGAGCCTTTTCACGGCAAGATGGCAGGTGCATGGATTGCTGTCAGTGAGCGACCGCGGCGGGACGCGTCCCAGCCTTGCTCGGCTTTGCAATGCAGCATCTTGAAAATCCAGCGCAGCCGTCTGCAGGGGCCGGTTGGCTCTGCGCCTGGGTGCGCTCGCCATCAGCCTCTCAGCCCTGGTTGCGCGGGGGTGAGGTAGAGCCTGCCGGCTTCTCGGTGCCGCCCTGCCTGTCAATGCCATACTCCAAATCATGCAGATCCTGCAAGTGCATGGCCGTGTGCATGGATGTGTGTATGTGCGCGTGCATGAGCGCATGCGCATGGGGGCACATGCGTGGGGTTGCGTGCATGTGCACATGCATGGGGGCGCGTGCATGGCCGTGTGCGCATGGGGGCACATGCATGGGGTTGTGCGCGTGTGCACAAGCATAGGGCCGTGCGCAGGGGGGCATGCGCATGGGGATGTGCTTTTGTACATGTGCAAGCGATGCAGGCATGCATGCACGTCTGCCCCTGTGCGCTTGATACACTTTGACGCTCCTGGCATCTCACAGGCGCCCGTCGCTAGGTGCCCCCACCCAACCCGCGCTGCTCCGCAGCCAGTCAACGCACCTGCAGCTGCTTGACGCTCCTAGCCGTGGCGTCGACCACCACCTCGCCGGCCGGCCGCGCCAAGTCTAGCAGCGCCGCCGCCAGCCCCAGGAACAGCAGCCCGGGCGTCTTCGCATTGCGCTCCTCGCCCGCGGCCACGAGCCTTCTGCCTGCTGCGTCGCGCCCCTGGCCTGCGGCGCCGGCTCCCTTGCCTGCAGCCGCGGGCGCCTCGCCTGCAACAGTGGGCGCCTTGCCCGCAGCCGCAGGCTGCTTGCCTGCGGTGTTCACCACCTGGTCTGTGGCTGCGGGCCCCTTGCCAGCGGTGGCGGGCACCGTGCTCGCGGCCGTGGGGGACGCGCGGCCCGCAACCGAGGGGGGTGCGCTGATCACGGCAGCAGCCGCACCAGCTGCGGGCGCGGCTGGCTGCTTGGCGGCGGCGCTGTCGGCGCGGCTGCGGTCACTGCCGTTCACAAGGCCCCGGCCGTTGCCGCTGGGCTTGCCCGCCGCAGCTGCCCCAGCCACTGACAGCTTGCTGCTGCCGGTAGCTGCAGGGCCGCCCTGTGCGCCTGCCCCAATGTCTGCGCTGGCGCCAGCCGCCTTGTCCGTCGCTGCGGCCGGCGTCGCCGGCGCCAGCACCGGCACCGCCGCCGCCGGCGCGGCCGCCTTGGGTTCGGCAGCGGCGGCCGCCTTGGGTTCGGCGGCAGCGGCCGTAGTCGGCGCAGCTGTCGCCCGTACGATGGTGGCCGGTGCGGCGGTGGCCGGCGCGGGCGCGGCCTTGCGGCTTGATTTTGTGGCGGTCGTGCTCAGAAGGTCGAGGAACGCGGCCCCCAATCCGATAGCAACCAGCCCGGGCGCGGCAGACTGCTTGGCAGCAGCGCTCACAACGCTGCCGCGGTCACTGCCGCTCGCAAGGCCCCGGCCGTTGCCGCTGGGCTTGCCCGACGCCACTGCCCCAGCCACTGGCGGCTTGCTGCTGTCCGCCGCCGCAGCGCCCACACCGGTGCCGGCCGCCTTGCCCGTCGAAACGGCCGGCGGCGGCGGCGTCGGCGCTGCAGCCTTGGTTTCGGCGATGTTGGCCGGAGGAGTGGTGATCGATGCGGCGGTCGCAGTCGCGGGTGTGGCCTTGCGGCTGGACTTTGTGGCGGTTGAACCCAAAAAGTCCAAGAAAACGGCTCCCAGTCCGATCGCGACCAGCCCGGGCGCACTGGCCCCGCGCAGCTCCCCGATCCACGGCGTCGCGGTGTCCGCGGAGGCGTCAGGAGCGGGGGCGGCGCCTGCGGGGGCGGCGCTGGTGCTGCCAGCGCCGGCCGCGGCGCCGGTGCCGGGAGCGCCCTCGGCTGGCGCCGCACGCGCGGCCGCGGCCACCGTGCCGGCTGCTGCTTCCCGGGGCTCCGAGGGCTGTGTTGTGGTTTGAAGGGAGAGAGAACGGACGGATGGTGTCTCAATGGCAGGCTGGAGGAAGCGGGGAGATGCTGCTAAGAGTGAGGGTTCAAAAGTTGACCACCTGCAACCAAAGAAGGGCGCACGCAGGCCACATCCCCACCCCCAACCCCAGGAGCCCCACCCCCACTCCCACCCACTCGCACCGGGCCTGGCGGAACGCCGCCGTCAGCCCGGCCCGGAGCAACCGGCGGCACCGCTGCGCGGCGCAGGGGCGCTGGCGCGGCGGCCGGTGCGCGCGGCTCGGTGACGGAGACGGCCACAGCCGGCGGCTGGCTGGCTGGCGGCACGGGTGCCTGCGGCGTGTTGAAGGGGCAGATGATGTTGGTTGAGCATCGCATTGCATGCATGAGCAAGGGAAAGAAGCGCAGGCATGCCAACTCAGCTCTTGAGATGAGGCCTGCATTGGCGGTGCAGGCGCGCTTTTATGTGTGGCGCTGCGGCCTGGCCATGACAGGCCACAGGCGCGCACCTTGGCCGGGGCCGGGGCGACTGCCTCTTTCAGTGTGCCCCGCACCACGCCCGCCGCCGCAGAGGCTGCCGCGCTGGCAGCTGCCCGCTGCTCCCGGCTGGAGCCATGTTGGACCAGGCCCCGCAGCCCCAGCGTGGCGGCGGCCGCGTCGCCCGCGCCCGCGCCGCCGCTCGCGCCCGAGCCCGCGCCCGTGCGGCCCACGGGCCTGCCGCCCAGCCGCAC